CTCAAAATAAACGATAAATAATCACAAAATTAAAGTGAAATAATTGCAAAATAGTCGAGAAATGCAAATATAGCGACCATTTATCACACACTTTAAAAACCTGAGATAAAAAACTTTGTATGCATTTCAATTACATCAAGTTTTTTGAAAAAAAAATATATATAAAAATTCAAATCTAATCCTACAAATGATTGCCATAATATATTAAATTAATAATTCAAGCAATGAAAGCGTTATTATAATTATATTATGTTTTCTGAATTTTGTATTAAGTTTTGTATTAACTCTTAAACGATTAGAAACTTTTAATGAAAAAATTTCGCAAACTTATCGCTCAAACCAAAATAATATATACAACAAAATTACCATCTATTTGATTACATAAGAGTTGATAATTAATAATTATATTAATAAACTTTGTATTTAGACGTAAAGTATATAATAATTAATAGACACATAACTAATATAGCATATCGTGTATTGAAATCAGTTTTATGCCGTACTGTTATTGATATGATAGGAGTTTGTGAGGCACTGGCAGTAATTAAGAGCTGAGGTGTTTGAGGTGATCCTTGAATCGATACACAAATGTCAAGGCAATGAACAAACGAGAGGTAAGTATATTATGTTTGGCGCCTACATGTCGATATTGCCTCTGGATCTCAAACATACCATTTGATTGCAATTGAAAGGCATTTAAATAGTGAATAAAAAACTTATAAGTTTAGACATATTATGAGTGCATTTAGTGTTCATTGAGTTGAAGTTGTTTTCGAAGAGCTCCACCATTTGCACCATTACTTCGAGAATACCCATTGACTTGTGGGGAAAACACTCACAAACTCTTTGAACATCTAATCCATAGGTTTTTAATGTTATTCGAGATTTGCTTTTGATTTGACTGTTAATTGAATGCATAAGCAGTGGTTAGCCGTCGAGTGTAAGTCAAAGTCGAGCCGTAATTATCATTTTGATTGTATTTAACGGTATATACAGACAGCTATCGAGTATGCAATTGTGTGCTGGGCTTTGAACTCCAAGTGCTTTGGGCGCCCACCACTCACTCCAACAGCTTTTTATACTGTATTTGAAAAATCATATTCAAAATACTATACATAATAATAATTGGCACCCGATATACAGGTGACTGTTATGTATAAGTCATAGCATGGCATTCCTGTGAAGGTCAGGTGTACGGCCTTGGATGTACCATAACTGTGCTGTATATATATGTTGTGTAATAATTCACTATTGGCTGAATGGATGCGGAATGGGTTGTCTGCCTAACCTCTTCGTACTAGAATTAGGTGCACCCACAGCCTCTCTCTCTCTCTCTCTCTCTCTCTCCCTCCCTCTCTTCTCTCTCTCTCTCTCTCTCTCTCTCTGACAGCGCCGACAGACCGGCACCAGCTGTATGTGACCTCAAACAGAGCTGTATTGAGATGGGATGTGAACTACAAGAGCTGGAGGAATGGGTTTTGTTTACAACCAAATAGTTTTCTTTAGGCCCCGAAGCCATCAACACATCACTCACTCGCATAGCGCCTACTGTTTCCCTGTTCTCCGGTATATATCATAAACGGTGTGCAGTACTGGTGCCCATCGATGGTTATATAACTCGCATCCCTATCCTCCTAGAGATCCCATTCCTTTCTGTTTGCCATTAATCTATTGAAACAAACGCTCGGATTATACGCTCGGTGAAGCCTATGAGAGAAGGGATTCATATTTGAAGCGATGTATCCATTCGTCTCACAAATGTTGAATTATATAATACTTACATGACTTAAGACCTTCTGCCGGCGCCACACATTTTTCGTGTGTCCCTGGATTGTAGTGTTGGAGTCGTATGTCTGTGTTTGTCTGTATGTGTGTGTGCGGCGTGAATACGGGAAACCCCCCTCACCTCTACTGTACGTACACCTCATATCAGCCTAAATGAGAAGTCACGGCAAACACAACAGACATAAGTATGTTCTGTACTTAAGAGTTAATATCTTAAGTCTCTGTATATTAATACTTATGAAAAGCCATTTATTATGAATTTTCCCATTGATTTAGTTTATCGATAAGTGTTGAGTCCATTCGCGCCGCACACTCGCCAGTCGTCTAAATTAAGGCTCATTTCTCTGTCTGTCATTGAAATTGAAAAAACTTTTTTCATTCGTAACTCATTTGAAAAGAAGTAGCGATTGTCTCACCGATGCTAACCAAACGAGTGTCAAACCATAACTATAGCCAACGAGACCATAGAAAACACTTTAATAGTAGTTGTAATCGTAATAATAATAATAAATTGTGTGATAATAAAATCAAAGTGTGTGCTAACAGTACTACACCAGGATCCCAGTGCTGCACAGCCTATCGTTGGGATTATGCCAATTGCTCTTATGGTTTATCAGGTCTGCAATAAAAATAACTATATATTCCTCTCCCTTCCCCCTCTTCCCTGTGCCCACTCTTTCTCTATGAAACAAATGTTTTAGTCAAATGACTCGAGACATCGAGAATCGCTACTACTCTATGAGCTCTCACTTATCGATCAAAATAAATATTATATAAATTATAAGTTATATATGTTTTATATAATGCGATAACAAATATGACTCAAAAAACTCTTTTGTATTTCGAGTGAAGATTATTATAGAAAATGAAAAAATAAATTTTGCACATGTGTTGAAATAGTGTGTATTTTTCGACTTTTAATTAAGTGATTAGAGAACTGAAAATATCAATAGTTTTTGTTTGGATATCAAATATTCTCCACTGAAACTAATGTAGAGAATTACGGCTCATATAAAACACACACTTTTCATACATATTTTAATATCATATATGAGATACAGCTCGCGTTTGAAAATGTTATTCTTGATTATTATATGAAATCAGTGGAAATTTGTTATCAAATGTATTAATATTTCTTTTCATATTTTATTTTGTGAATCATATCGTTATTGAAACAGTTGTGCGAATATTAATATACAGTATAATATATTTATATAATTATTGAATTTTGTTTTTTATTTGAAAATTTCTATTTTAAACGAATGTCTGATTTTTGAAAAAGAGGTTAATATAAATACATTTGCAACTTAAGTATCAAATACTGTATAATAAGTTTAGTAATAAATAATAAGAAATCATAAAGTTTTCAATTGAGTTGTGTGATCATGAAATACCACTTATTTCAATGAATGCAATATTTTTATATTACGAACCAATAGTTTTTACAAATTTAATAATAGTTACAATCAATTTCAATAATATATGAATATTATAATAACTTGTTATTTAAAACAGTTATGTTTTAAACATTAATAATAAACCGTTTTAAACATTGAATTTAATCGACACTTACTGTTATATGACCGCCGATGTTGACAGTGATGAGTGCCCCCCTGTCCCCCAATGGAAGCACTACCTCCAGCGTTATATCGTCTGAGGATTCCTCATCAAACATATCCGGCTATACGGGACCGGGTGTCCGGCATACGCAACACTATTCACTGCCATCACCACAACTGGCCTCCACCTCACAAACCAACCAATTGGTGGCCAATCACCTCAACAACAGACAGATCAAAGTGTGCAGAGTTTGCGGCGATCGGGCCAAGAGTTATCACGTAAGACATGATTTCATTAAACATATGATTCACTCTTGCAATTAGTGTTAGTCTATAATCTGCCACTAATCTCAATATTTTTCAAATGAGACATTTTTCTAAAGTTTTAACTAAATTTTTGATAATATTAATGAATGTATAGGTAATGAATATTTAAATTTTTAAAAATGTATTTACTGTGAGTATTAATACGTTCAATTCATAAGCCGATACAATGTTACAATTATAAAGTGTGCTCAAATTTATGCATAGCCTACAAAGTTATTTTCAGTAATTTTTAAAATCTCAAAATCATCCGCAACTAAAACTCTTATAAAGAAAATAATGTCAATAAATTATATAACTAATGAGATTTGCACACAAAAGTTATTTAAAACTATTCAGTAATGTTTTCAATGTCTTTGTCAATCAAAGAAATAGCTAACAAAAAATATCACTTTTTATAATTAACTCTAATTGTATTGACCATAAGTTTGGCGGCATATCGTGCGACAGCTGTAAAGCCTTTTTCCGGCGAAGTGTCCAAAACGACGCCTTCCGTAACTTTCACTGTCCGTACGACAGACACTGCGATATCACTATTAACTCCAGAAAGTCGTGTCAATTCTGCAGGTCTTTCACACGTCAACCATCATATGAAAATCAATGATCACTAACACTGTTTGCCTTTTTTGTATGTACTCGCATTGCGTGAACGGTTAGGTTCAACAAATGTCTGTCCATCGGTATGGAGAAGTCATGGGTGATGACCGAAGAGGAAAGGATGCAAATGCTTAAGAATCGCATCGAAAAACGCAAACTCGATGAGTCGGACGGTATGTGCGCCCCTCCAGAGGCCAAACAGCACATCAACAACTATAGCCCCAACACATCCAATGACCGCAAATACGATACGATCACCAAATACGAGCCAAACATCACTGAAATCAACACTTATTTAACAAAAGATGAGGTGATTCTTTCAATTCAATACATTAAACACAGCATTAATGGCATAAACACTGAAAAATTAATGTATTTGTTATACATTTACATGAAAATCAGGTGAAACTAATCGAGAATATAATGAATCAAATCCGGAAGTGTTCGCAAGAAATCTCATTCACAATCAGCGGCGCCGACACGAGCGCATCCACCGACCAGAGGGCGCCCATCGATATCCTGCAGATATTCTTCACGGCTATCCAACAGTTCGCGCTATTCGTCCACTCATTCGTCTCGTTGGCCGCCATTCCCACCCAAGACAAGCAGGTGCTGCTGAAGGGCGGTGTACTGGAGCTGTGTTTCCTGAGGGGTGCCTTCAGTTACGACATGAGGGGTAAGCACTGGCGGTACGACGAACAGAGGCCGGCCGGTGTCATCTACTCCGACGACCTACAGGTCATGCTCTCGAAAGATCTGCTCGAAAAACACATGCAATTCATTAAAACGATTAAACGCTTGCGAATGGATGAGCCCACGTATATCCTACTCTCCCTGGTCATACTGCTCACACCCGACAGGGAGGGCCTCACCAGCGCACAGTTAGTGCAAAGGGAACAGGAGAAGTACCTGTTGCTGCTCAAGGCGTACATGTCGTGGAGGTACGGCCCCCGAGTATCGGCCCTACTGTACCCCAAATTGTTACTCAAATTAGCGGACTTACGGGAGTTGGCAGACGCGCATACCGACTACGCTCTGTTGTTAGGGCACCGGGAGTTGCAACAAATACAGCACAAACTCACGGCTCTTAACATCGGCGCCAGTAATCGCGTCGACAGCCCAACAACTGACCCCCTGTTATGCGATACGCCGGTCAGCGCCAGAGCCGCGCCCCCAATGACCGGGCAGTCGCCACCGGCAGAGTGGACGATAGGCGACTCCATTACTGACGACTGCTTTGCCACTAATAGAGGCTTATATGGTGGCGATGAAGAGAACAGAGGCCGGCCGGTGTCATCTACTCCGACGACCTACAGGTCATGCTCTCGAAAGATCTGCTCGAAAAACACATGCAATTCATTAAAACGATTAAACGCTTGCGAATGGATGAGCCCACGTATATCTTACTGTCCCTGGTCATACTGCTCACACCCGACAGGGAGGGCCTCACCAGCGCACAGTTAGTGCAAAGGGAACAGGAGAAGTACCTGTTGCTGCTCAAGGCGTACATGTCGTGGAGATACGGCCCCCGAGTATCGGCCCTACTGTACCCCAAATTGTTACTCAAATTAGCGGACTTACGGGAGTTGGCCGACGCGCATACCGACTACGCTCTGTTGTTAGGGCACCGGGAGTTGCAACAAATACAGCACAAACTCACAGCTCTTAACATCGGCGCCAGTAATCGCGTCGACAGCCCAACAACTGACCCCCTGTTATGCGATAACGGCCAGTCGCGGTCTCGGCGCGGGGGTTACTGGCCCGTCAGCGGTGGCCGTCTCACCTGCTATCCGCTGAGGTAATGACTGCTGACGAAACGGTGATTATCTCCGAATATACCACCGCTACTTCTCCTGTCCACCTCTAGTGAAGGGTCCGAAAGGTTGTTATTATCCGATTAGACACCATTCTTGGGGTCCGAGAAATGGACTATTATCAAAGGGTAGGGCAGAGGACAGGCGTATTCACACCAATAATGGTCATACGATACCAGTTATACTAATATGAGAGCCGTTTTCTGGCGGACAGACAGACAGTAGATCTCATTGACTGTCAGTTTGCGGCGATTCTGTGATCTATTAATTGTTTTTTATGTATAAATAATTTTATAGTTATTTTTTGAGTATTGTACATAACTCTCAATTTAAACTAAAGTTCAATAAAATCCTTGTTTAACAATTGTTTACTTCACTTTTTTATAAAATAATGAAAAAAATTAGTAATCTCTAAATTATTTATTTAATAAAATCAAAACTTATCCAATTCTGTACTATGTTTCTGTGATAACAATTTTATTTATAAAATTCATAGACATTCATAGATCTATTGTACAACAATTCCCACCCTATTCCCCACTCCTATCCATACCCCTACCTCATAGAAATCAGAAATTTGTTCCAGGTATTTCAATTCCTAAATTATTCATAACTTTTGGTAAAATTCTGATGGTATTCAGTGTTTATATGAGACGTTTGGTGTCACTATTAATAATACACTCACTATCCATTCAATAGTATTAATAGTGTAAAATTCCTTTATTATATGGTTACACAATATAAGGGGTGCAATATTCTGTTAAATGACAGGTGTATCCATAACAATAATATAGGGGTCTGTATTCAGGGGGAACAGTAAACATACGTAACAATGCATTGTTATCATCACATTTCAAGTCATGTCTCCTATAAATCGTAACATTTAATAATCATGACATTGCCATACTTGGCATACTATCACATCAATTTACACACTATTCCATAAACAATCTGAGTCAAATGTAATGTTTTTTGTATTGTTAACTAATAATTAGTTTATTTCTCTCTCATAAGTCTCTCTCTCTCTCTCTCTCCCTCCCTCCCTCTCTCTCCCCTCTCACTATCTATTAATACGGTATTTGGTGTATGTATTGAGTAATGCATTTACATTGCGTATAGAAAACACACACGACTTGTGCTACCATTCAGTCAGTCATACGATAGACACAAACGGCTAGTGTTTTCGTGTTATGTGATTATAGCCACAAATGCCATAACAATTAGTTTGAATGGGAATTTTAATTTATATATCATTTCATTACCGTTTCGTACGATAGTATCAGTGATAACACGAGTATACAAATAGTCTCTCACTCTCTGGCTAACGAATTACCATTTGTTTTGTCATTTGTTTTTGTATTACATTTCAATTGTCATATGATTTAGTGGTTGGCTGTGAACTACCAGTCCTTTTAAACGCAATACTAATTACATTCAAACCGTTATTACAATTAATGTGTTATTCATCGTAATTATCATCAATTGTATTATAGTTTGTCACCAATTGTTTGGTTAATCATTTGAAACCTCTTTTTTGAATACCATTTCAAATGCCATACAATTGTGTGCTATTTATGTGTTGTTTATAACAATTAATTGCATTTTAATGATCCGTTCAGTCATTTGATGGCATCGTTTCGGTTACAAATCAAAAGCGAAATATATTTTCAAATATAGTTTTTATTACTAAGTCTTCAGTCGTGGTGTCCACGGATCAGTTGATTAGCCATTTAGTGTAAACCTCTGGATCGGCCGCCCATTCAATCAATTGCGTGATTATCAGCCAATTGTCACCAGAAGATGGTATCAGTCGATATCCGCGACCACTCGTGCCATCGCTTCACACGATTACACAACTGTTAAGACCTTTTTGGATGGTTTGGTGGCCAAAGACATGTGATTTGATTTGGTCTTTACGCCCGTCAGTGATACCCGAGAAAGACATCCGCCGATAGACGGGAACCGATGCCACCAATCGATCCACTAATAGGACTAACGGTGTGAATGGGATGGCAGACACCAAATCAGACACCACTCAACTGATCGCCAATGAGTACAAAGAGGTGTCTGAGGCCGAGAACAGTCCGGTGTCTGAAAGGGCTTACCTCTCATTCGACACCAACTCTGTGGACAGCAGTAAGACATTGACGGCCAGTCATAACCCGACGAACAACGAGTGCAACGAATCGGTTGACAATAACACCACTAATGATGATATGATTGGCAACAATACCAGTGCTAAGAGTGACACGATTTTGGACGCGAAATGCGAGGCCAGGAGTGCGACGACTGGCGGCCGACAGACACCGACTTCGCCGCAGACGTCGCCGGAGCCGCGGATGAGTCACAGAAGTGGTCACAACTTCTTCACACTTCCGCGACTGTTGTCCGGAAGGCGTAAACGATCGAAACGAAAGAGTATTGTGATGTCGACCGAGTCATCGGTGGTCACGTCGTCCATACGCGAGGAACAGTCCCCGGAAACTGAGTCCATCGGACACGTGTCGGCCCACACGACGGCCACCACTAACTACGGAAGCGATGGCCGACCGGAAAGTCCTATTTATGTGAAGGAGAGCTTCTTCATGCGACTCATGAGGCACTTGGCGTCACCCGTTCACGGAGGGGGAGGGGGTGGCGGTCGGCCAGGGGTGCACTCGAACCGCAATTCCTACT